TTTATGCATTTTGTCCAACTCCAAGCTGTATACCAATACCTATTGGATTTAGGCATATCAGGTGATGTGTATTTGTGTAATGAGGGAGGGTGTGACCTAAGGACATCAACACCCTATATCAAGGTGTGTATAATTATTAGGCAGCTTCTTTTCCTCAGGCAAAATGGGCCAAAAAAGAGATTTTACTGACTCTGAAAAGTCAAAAATTGGAAAGTCTTTCAGAGGGATGCAGCACTCTTGAAATTGCTAAGATATTGGGCTTGATCACAGAACCATCAAACGTTTTGTTGCAAATAGTCAACAGGGTTGCAAGAAACGTGTTGAGAAAAAAAAGATGCAAATTAACTGCCAAAGATTTGAAGAGAATCAAACGTGAAGCTGCCAGGAACACATTATCCTCCAATGTTGTCATATTCCAGGACTGCAACCTGCCTGAAGTGCCCAGAAGTACAAGGTGTGCAGTGCTCAGAGACATACCCAAGGTAAGGTAGGCTTAAACTCGATCACCACTGAACAAGACACATAAGTTGAAACGTCAAGATTGGGCCAAGAGATATCTAAAGACAGATTTGTAAAAGGTTTCATGGACTGATAAGGTGAGCGTGACTCTTGATCGACCAGATGGATGAGCCTGTGGCTGGATCAGTAACGGGCAAAGAGCTCCACTTCGACTCAGACACCAACAGGATGGAGGTATGGTATGGGCTGGTATTATTAAAGATGAGCTAGTTGGACCTTTTTGGGCTGAAGATGGACTCAAGATCAACTCCCAAACCTACTGCCAGTTTTTAGAAGACACTTACTTCAAGCAGTGGTACAGGAAAAAGTCTGCATCTTTCAAGAAGACCATGATATTTATACAGGGCAATGTTCCATCGCATGCATCGAAATAGTCCACTGCATGGCTAGCCAGTAAAGGCCTCAAAGATGAAAGAATGCCATGGTCCCCTTCCTCACCTGACCTAAACCCTATTGAGAACTTGTGGGTCCTTCTGAAACAGATTTACAGTGACCAGTACACCTCTCTGAACAGTGTCTGGCATGCTGTAGTTGCTGCCGCACAAAAAGTTGATCGTCAACAGAAAAAGCTGAGAGACTCTATGAATAGAAGGCTTATGAATGTTATTGAAAAGAAGGGTGGCTATATTGGTCACTGATTTTTGTTTTTCTATTTTTTACTGTCAGAAATATGTTATTTGTAAATTTTGAGTTGTTTATTATTCTCACTTTAACAGATGAAAATAAAGAAGTGAGATGGGAACATTTTAGTTTTTAATTTAGTTGCATAATAATGCTGCACACTAGTAGTTGCCCAACAATTGCGCACAAATAGATGTTCTCCTAAGAAAAAGCCGAAACCTCACTTTTTTACTTTCTTAAATATTTAGGTTTGAGGTTTATTAACATTTTGAATTGACCAAGAGCACTGTAGATTTTCAACAATTAAATTAATCCTCAAAAAAGCAACTTACCTAATAATTGTGCACACAGTGTATATGTGAGGACAGCAGTCTGGAGTGGATTATTAACCACTTTCCGACCGGCCATTGTATATAAACGGCCGAACGATGGCACTGCAGGGTCGGGTGGCCGTTTATAAATGGCCTCCCCGCACCCTGCTTGTGCGCGCTCCCCAGGAGCGCGCAGCACTGCGATCCAGTGCCCGCTGTGTCCTCCGGACACAGTGAAACACCGATCGTTGGACGGGACCTCTGTACGAGGTCCCGATCATGTGATCACTGATTGGCCAATCAGTGATCACATGCAAAGTAGTAAGCAAGATGTCACATCATTGCTTACTACGTGTGAAATCTGTGTATGATCACAGAGGTCACATGGTACAATGCTATTCACAACAGCCTTGTACCATGTGACAAGCTGTGACCAATCACAGCTCACTCAGTACTTCTCAATGGCTGCAAGAATGCAGACAGAGAGAGAAATGATTGCTTTTACATCCTATATGGGTGTAAAAGCAATCAGTGTAAAAAAAAAAAAAAAATCATCACCCCCCAAAAGTAGTACAGTGTCTAGTACTGTACATACTGTACTGCTAGGGTGACCGTATGTAAAAAAAAAAAAAAAAAAAAAGTTTAATAATTATAATTTTTGGTTATAAACTAATTTTGGCTTTTTTTTTTTTTTTTTTACTAAAAAGATAATGGAATACATTTTGGCCAAGATTTATGATGAAATATTATTTATTTGCAAAATTTTATAAGAAAAACACTTTTTTAAAAAAATGTTTGGACATTTACATAGCAAAAAAAATAAAAATCCCAGCGGTGAATAAATACCACCAAAATAAAGTTTTATCTGTCTCAAAAAAATGGTAAAAAATTCATATGGGTACAGCGCTGCATGACCGCGCAATTGTCATTCAAAGTGTGATAGCGATGAAAGCTGAAAATTGCCCTGGACAGGAAGGTGGTAAAAGTGTCCGGACTGGAAGTGGTTAAAAAACACTTCTAGACCTTCCAATAATTTGGGGGTCTGTTGTGGCTGTGAGCTGCTTTTGTGGGACTTATCACTGGGTGTTTTGACCTTCATTTTGTCAGCACAATGGTGGCTGATAAAATGAAGTGATGGTTTGACATCTTAGGTGTTTTGTGGACTTTAGCTTTACTTATGATTGATGTTTTGTATTTTCTTTAGTTGGTTATTCTCATTAATATCATGTTTAGGTAGGCACTCCTTTGCTATTAGTTGGATATTGCTAATACAAAGCTAATCTTTAATTTACTTAGACTGTATGTTTTGTGGATAGAAGTATTGCTTTAACAGTAGTGGAGCAGATTATGAATGTACTATGATGTTTACATATTTGGGGAATGGTAATGTTCACAGCGTGATCAGCTAGTTCTGGGAGGGCGTCCATGGACACCCTCCCGGAATCACACTTCCTGCAAACCCCCTGGGGCGCGCACTGCACACGTTCTGTGATCGCTGTCTCCTTCGGACACAGCTGATCACATGACTAAGGAACAGGCCAATCACAGCTGTTTTTACCATGTGACGAGCTGTGCCCCTGTGCTGATCACTGGGTAAATAGGAAATGCTGAATATCGGCATTTCGCAGGGGGACATCTACACTGATCATCAGGGTACTGATAATCGGTGCATACAAAAAATTGAAGAATGCCACAAAATAGGTGGATCACCCTATGTAATTACTCTCTGACTCATCAATCATATAGATGTGGGTTAATACTGAAAATTGCAAGCATATAAAGAAACAAACAGCCCTAAAGAAAGGCTGTAAAGTAACGATTTAAATTAAACCCAAGCAGAGTAATTAATGGTACAAAAATTGCTTTATTGTGAATCTCGCATGAAAAATGTAATTCATTTACCTAGATATGTGGTATTTACCACTTCTATGGATAATGGATTAAAGTTGTGGAGTGTATCCATGATGCTGGGTATATTTATCAGCTTTAGACTTCTGCAATCCGGATTGCGTACGTTTTTATTATTTTGATCTGTATTTTTCAACTTGCAAGGTTTCATACATTTTTTTATGCTAGCTTCCCAATAAAGCAATTTTTATACCATATTTAACGATTCTGCTTGGGATTAATTTAAACCGCTACTTTACAGCTTTTCTTTAAGGCTGTTTATTTCTTTATACTGATAATCAGTTCCCTGATAATCAGTGTAGCCCCATCAGTGCTGCCTATAGTGCCCGTCAGTGCTGACAATCAATGCCGCCGATCAGTGCCACCTAACAGTACCCATCAGTGCCACCTATCAGTGCTGCCCATCAGTGACTCCTCATCAGTGCCCATCAGTGCAGCCTATCAATGCCCGTCAGTGAAGGACAAAAATTACTTATTTACAAAACTTTAAAACAGAAACTAAGAAAAACTTTTTTCAAGATTTTTGGCCTTTTAGTTTATTTAGCAAACAAATAAAAACCCCAGTTGTGATTAAATACCACCAAAAAAGCTCTATTTGTCTAAAAAAAAAAAATGATAAAAATGTAGTTTGGATACAGTGTTGCATGACTTCACAATTGTCATTTAAAGTATGACAGCGCTGAAAGCTGCTCATCTTTAAGATTTTAGATTTCTTTCCAGGTCCCATGGGCAAAAAGACATTATGTGAGAACACATGTATTTGGCTTGTAGTGTATGAATCCATTTCAAAAGAATAAGGCTTTGGTATTTTTGTGTTCCCTATCCTGGTATGTTTGACAAGGAGAAGGAAAACATGGCACCTGCCCCGGTCTATGACTGGCTATAATGCAAGGATTACGTGAACTGGGCAACGCATGTCAATAAAGAAAAAATGTTTAAAAAATGTTCATAAATCAACTCGCGAGCCAGCTTGCCAACAACCAAATTAACCTGTCTAACAGTATGCGTTAAAAGCAGGGGTTTACTTAGCACAGATTTGCAAATACATACGTAAGCCACAGAGCCACATCAAGGCACCCCAGTAATCTGTGGTTCCGAACTCAACAAATTTGAGTCCCCATAGTAGGGAACCACAGATTACCGGGGTACCTTGATGTGGCTCTGTGGCTTACGTATGTATTTGCAAATGTGTGCTAACTAAACCCCTGCTTTTAACGCATACTGATAAACAGGTTAGTTTGGTTGTTGGCAAGCTGGCTCGTGAGTTGATTTAGGAACATTTTTTTTTTTTTTTTTTTTTGTCTTTATTGACATGTTTGACAAGGACACATTGCATTTAAAATTGTTACTGACTGTAGAACGTGGTAAAATACCCAGGATTCTGCCTAGGGTCTGTTGACTTCCTTGGAAATTAGCTGGCTAATCATACTTTTGAGCCTTGACATATACATGTATGAATGTGTGTTTGTATGAGCATAAGTAGATAGATGTTTTTGTTTTTTTACACAAAGACTGGATGTTTCTGCTTCGACAGTGAAAACCCAGCAGTGTGTTCTTACCTGCTTTATATGCAATAGCAGGTCCACAGTCCTAATTTCACATATAGAGTGTTATTTCACAATGTGTTTCTTTCCAATTCAGGAAAGAGAATACAGCAGAAGCCTTACCTGAGGGATTCTTTGATGACCCAGAAGTGGATGCAAAGGCAAGTGTTCCTTCTTTTGCATGCAGTGCTACTTCAAGTGCCATGATGGGATCATTAACACATTTAGAACAAAAATGGTCCATTTCATTTTAATCGTTAGTAGCTCCCCTGGCAGTGTTCCTCACATACGCAACATATGGAGCCTATCACGAGCCATATCTTTTCTGATGAAAGAGGCTGCAGTGGAGTATATTTTAAGTCCAATGTCTTTTAGAAAAGTAAATGTGAAGTATACTTTGAACAGGGTATAATCACTACATACTTGCAACCATATAACTGTAACCTGCTAAGGATTTGCCTCATGGATCAGTACAATTTGTAAAGTAGAATTGAAATACTAAAATGCAGTGTTTAGTCTTTTGCCTATAAAACTGACCACATTAACATGTACTTATTCCATTATGAGCCACCATATTCACAATACCTCTTTCATTATAGATTACGGAATGAAACTGAATGTCCACATGTAAAAGAGCATCTTGCCTTTGCTATACTAGATGTGTAGAAAATTTGCAACACTTTGCAGAAGGAAACTGTAATTTAAAAAACATGTTCAACATTCTTTCATGGCCTGCAAGGACCGCTCTGATTGTTGTTCTTACCAGCAAATCCCATCCCCATCAAAATGAAACCAGGGTCTTGCTCTATTTACACAGCAGAGGCAGGAGGAGTTTGGAACATTGTTTATTCGGAGATACCATGTAACAATTTTAGATTTTACTTTATTTAGTTTCCTCTGTAAATCAAATTTATGACCCTTGATAAGCATTTGCTGATCACATACTGCATATATACAGCATGAAAAGGGGGCTTTTAACACCAAGCTGCCCCACATGTACATCCATGACAGCCTGAGTTTTTGTGCTGTTAGCACGCTCATTGCTTGCTCCGATTACACTGACTGAGCTGTCACCAATAGCTGTCAGTCATGCCTTCTGATCTGGATCCATCTAGACAGGCTCCCAATCATGTGACCCCTATGGGAGCCAATCATAGTGGTCACATGAAATAGAAGTTAGGGGTTAAAGCAACTCTACCAGAAAGAAAAATAAATAATATTTATTCCTATTTAACTTATTAACCCTAATTAGCCAACATTTTTAAATTTATTTCTAATTTTTCTTACTATTTAAATAATAACTTTTAAAAATTGTAATACATTTTGGTCTTAAATTTTTTTAGCATCTCAGTAAAGTATTAACAAAAAAAGCGTTTTTTTTTTAGTTGGTAAAAACCTTTGCCATGTTTTTACCAGTGCCAAAGTGTAATTTTAATGTACAAATGATAGAATACCTTTTGTTTTATTGCATCTTTGTGTTTATAGATTTCAAATAAAATTCCCAAAAAATAAAGATTTTCCACCTAAAACGAAAAATGGACTGTAGCTTTAAACCACCTTAGATCTATTCATTTGTATGGTCTTTAGGTATGACAGAAGGTGCACATGAATAAACTACCCTGTCCAGCTGATCTGGTGTACAGAACAGTGGTGTCCAACTTAACAGGACTAAAGGGTCAAATTTGTAGCCACAATAAAAGTAAAGGGCTTCATCTAAATTAAGGGAGTAAAACATATCATTAGAGAGCAAATATGGAACTGTGACTTCCTGAAATGAGCACAGATCTAGCACATTGAAATGTCAAGTTTTTAACTTGTTATTTATACAGGATTTTTGCCTCTGTTTTTTTCAATGCCTTATTATAATATTTGATTACAACTGTGGTCTATCTGTTCAAGGCAACTTTCTACTGACTGTGTTTCTTGTAAAGGTGAGAAAAGTAGATGCTCCCAAAGATCACATGGCTAAAGAGTGGGAAGAATTTCAGAAGGAAATACGTCAAGTTAATACTGTGAGTATTTGTGTTACCTTTTTATTGCTTATTTTGTATTTATTGACTAAACAAATAATTACCTCATTGACAAATTATCAGGCAGAGATGCTGGGAGTGAGCATCGCCAAGCCCAGCTTTTGCAGAACAAGCCCATATGGATCTACTGATCACTAAGACATGCAATGTTTACAGAAAGAAACCTCTGTTTCTGTACTGTTTCGTTATTTGTTGTTTACTTGAATAAAAAAGGTTAGCAGCTCCCTTTTTCTATTCAAGTCCTGCAAAACATCTTCAACTAGTCCAACAATTTGTAACTAGATCAGCTCAATGTGTATAGTTCTCTTTTAAAAGGTGATCTATATTTTATTCCACAGATTAAGACCACCAAAAAGAGCGTAACATATATATTCAAGCATTGCCCAAATTTAACCCCAGACTCCCTCTTTGCCCTCTAAATCATGGTACTGTATTATTTTAAATGCTTCCCTTACTGTCATGAGAAAGTTTTTAATACTCTTTCTGACATCATCACTTGGCTTGTAAAATTCTTGCAGGCGCAGCAGCTGCAGGGAGTTCAGTTCCTATTGATGTTGGCATGCCCCCTGACCTATATCTCCCAAGAGGCATTTCTCTACACTATATGGACAGACTGTTGGTAGTCAAAGTAGTCTCATTGTTTTGTTGGGAAAGAAATCAACTTATGCATTTGAAGAGGGACAAATATGAGTGGGGAGCAGTCCAGCAGGCTGACAGTGCTGCTTGAGACTTTAGTTTAGCAAAGCCATAGCTATTTTTCTGTATTTGTAGAGTGCGCAAAGGGCTTAAATGTTGGTTATATACAGTTGTATTCAAAATAATAGCAGTCAGACATCACTAACCTGATCAATCACTGTTTTTGGTAGAAATGATATTTCTACATGGCAAATAATTTACTAGCAGGTGTAGTAGAGTAATAGAAATCCAACAGACCCAACAGTCATGACATGTATGCTGCTGATTCTGTGTGTAATTGAATCACTCATTGAAAGGGGCATGTTCAAAATAATAGCAGTGTGGAGTTCTATTAGTGAGGTCATTCATTCTTTGAAAAACAGGTGGCAATTATTGCCCTTATTTAAGGAAGGAAGGCAGCAAATGTTGTACATGCTGGTTACAGTGCATTTCTCTCTGCAATTCTGAGGAAAATGGGTCATTCCAGACATTGTTCAGAAGAACAGCGTACCTTGATTAAAAAGTTGACTGGAGAGGGGAAAACATATAAAGAAGTGCAGAAAATGATAGGCTGCTCAGCTAAAATGATCGCAAATGCTTTAAAATGGCAACCAAAACCTGAAAGACGTGGAAGAAAGCGAAAAACTACCATTCGAATAGATAGAAGAATAGCCAAAATGGCAAGGACTCAGCCAACAATCAGCTCCAGGAAGATGAAAGAAGGTGTAAAGTTCCCTGTGAGGACTGTTACAATTAGAAGACGCCTATGTAAAGCCAAGCTATCTGCAAGAAGCCCCCCGCAAAGTCCCACTGTTGAAAAAAAGATGTGCTGAAGAGGTTACAATTTGCCAAATAGCACATTGACTGGCCTAAAGAGAAATGGCGCAACATTTTGTGGACTGATGAAAGTAAGATTGTGCTTTTTGGGTCTAGTGGCCGGAGACAGTTTGCCAGACAACCCCCAAACACTGAATTCAAGCCACAGTACACTGTGAAGACAGTGAAGCATGGTTGCCCAAGCATCATGATATGGGGATGTTTCTCATACTACGGTGTTGGGCCTATTTATCGCATACCAGGGATCATGGATCAGTTTGAATACATCAGAATACTTGAAGAGGTCATGCTGCCTTATGCTGAAGAGGAAATGCCCTTGAAATGGGTGTTCAAACAAGACAACGACCCCAAACACACCAGTAAACGTGCAACATCTTGGTTCCAGACCAACAAGATTGACGTCATGGAGTGGCCAGCCCAATCCCCGGATCTTAATCCAATAGAAAACTTGTGGGGTGACATCAAAAATGCAGTTTCTGAGGCAAAACCAAGAAATAGAGAAGAACTGTGGAATGTAGTCCAATCATCCTGGGCTGGAATACCTGATCACAGGGGCCAGAAGTTGGTTGACTCCATGCAACACAGATGTACAGCAGTTCTCAGAAACAGTGCTTATACAACTAAATATTCATTAAGTGATTCAAAGGAAAGCAAAATCTTCAAACATTTTTCAGTTTATATAGTGAATGTTTGAGTTTGTAAAGAAGAATACAAACACTGCTATTTTTTTGAACAGTCTAATATTCACTTTTCTTCAATTTTTTTTAGAGGAACAACACAAATTTGATCTATTTTTTTTTCATGTTTTGATTTGGAATAGAATGTGTAATGTTCCCAATGCATTTGTGAGTATGGAAATAAAAGCTATTAGAAGGATTTTCAGCTTTATTCACTTTTTTCAACACACTGCTATTATTGTGAACACAACTGTATGGCAGAGATGTACTGAATGTTTGTTTTTTTTTTTTTGTTTTTTTTGGTTTTTTTTTTTCATAGCCTTCTAATAGAAACTCCATGAGATTTTTCTTGGTTTACTCGTTAATGGATTTTATGAGCTAATCTCTATTAGGGAATATCTACATTGCATGCAGGAAGTGTGCATTAATAACTCAGAAAAACAGGTACGCAGCACCTGCTGCGGTTGTTGGCAGCCATGTGGCTGTAAAGCCTGTGGGGAACCCATTGGTTCATGGAATAGGTTTCTTATAACTCCTATATAAGCCAGCCCCCTAAATAACCCTAAGATCAACAATCCTGCTACAGGTAGTCCTCTGGTGGCGGTGCACATTGTCCACTTCCCAAGATGTTGGACAGCCTAAGGCACACCACTGACTGTGTTGATGGGGGAATCCCTCCTGCAGCACTATCATGTTCTGGTGGTGGGGAGTGCAGGGAGCCTTCCCTGCTGGCAGAACACAATGGTTAGTGTTTCTGGCTATAACCAGCAACACTAATCGTTCAGGGAAAAAAAAAAAGACGGAAAAAGTAAATTGATAGATCGACTTGTGTACAGCCTGCTGAACTGGCCAAATTTGAATCCATGTATGGCCTGCTTAACACTAGATTTCTACCATTTGGGATGTATTGTAAGCTCTAACAAGCAGGGACCTCTGATGCCTCTTGTATTAAATTGTATTGTAATTGTACTGTCTGCCCTTATGTTGTAAAGCGCTGCGTAATCTATTGGCACTAAAAAATCCTGTGTAATAATAATAATAGACAATGCCATCGGAAGAAGTAAACACCTGTGGTTTTGTGGTTGGGGAACGGCTCACCTTAGGGTAGTTTGTTCTTGATGTTTTTTTCCAATTATGTAAATGTGCCATAAAATGAATATCTAATATAAAATTCTGTTTATGTGAACTACTTTCCCATTGCAACACTTTATGTTAAAGGTGTCTGAAGCCATTGTGGCAGAAGAAGATGAGGAAGGTCGGCTGGATCGGCAGATTGAGGAAATTGATGAACAGATGTACGCAGATTTGTTTGGCATTATAGGGATAAAGTTTTTTGTTTCTTACATTTTTAAACTGTGTGATTTTGGCCATTTGCAGAAGTGGAACTTCTGTTTGACCTCATTTCACCCATGTTGCAATTTGGTTCATTGAAAGCTGCAATTAACTAAGGTCTCACTTGACAGGTTTCTTGTTAGAGGTTTTTCAGACAATCATACAGACAAATTAATTTCACAGGCATCTCTCTGGGCCAAATATTAATTAATGCAATATGATGGACTTTATTTTCACAAAACTTTTTTTGATAGAGCCACATACTGTCTACTCAGATGCTGCAGTCTTGAATTTAAAAGTTTTAGGCTGTCCTAGGCAGTTTTTTTTTTCACAGAAGTAACTACAATGTTAACATTCCTCATATCCTTACAGTATGCGTAGGTGGAAAGATTATATAATCCTAAGCAGCATTAATGTCATGGTGTGTATTAATATGCACATGATGACACGTCGTGTGGAAGATTTCTAAGAGAAGATGCAGAGAACCTAGTACAGAATAGGAAGGATGAAGAATGAGGTAACAGGTTCTCCTTACCTTTGTGGTCCACAGTTGTGCTGTGCAAGTATAATTTGATTTTATACTGTTATTTGCTTTTTTTAAAATAAAAAATGTTGCAGCTTTCAATTTGGTGCCAACCAATGCCGAAATGTTAATTATAGTTCTTTTTAGATGTATAGCTAAAAAAAAGCAAAGAAAAGGTACAGCTTTGTTCTGCAACATTTATTCAGATATATTCAATTGAGTATGCTGATTTGTAAAGTACCGTATTTTTTGCTCCATAAGACGCACCTGACCATAAGACGCACCTAGGGGAGAAAAACAAGAAAAAAAAATATTCTGAACCAATGGACTGCAGACATAGTACAGGAGATGACCAGAGACTGCGGACACAGTACAGGAGATGACCAGAGACTGCGGACATAGTACAGGAGATGACCAGAGACTGCAGACATAGTACAGGAGATGACCAGAGACTGCGGACAGTACAGGAGATGACCAGAGACTGCGGACACAGTACAGGAGATGACCAGAGACTGCAGACACAGTACAGGAGATGACCAGAGACTGCGGACACAGTACAGGAGATGACCAGAGACTGCGGACACAGTACAGGAGATGACCAGAGACTGCTGACATAGTACAGGAGATGACCAGAGACTGCAGACATAGTACAGGAGATGACCAGAGACTGCGGACACAGTACAGGAGATGACCAGAGACTGCGGACACAGTACAGGAGATGACCAGAGACTGCGGACACAGTACAGGAGATGACCAGAGACTGCGGACATACTACAGGAGATGACCAGAGACTGCGGACACAGTACAGGAGATTACCAGAGACTGCGGACACAGTACAGGGGATGACCAGAGACTGCGGACAGTACAGGGGATGACCAGAGACTGCGGACAGTACAGGGGATGACCAGAGACTGCGGACACAGTACAGGAGATGCCAGAGACTGCGGACACAGTACAGGAGATGACCAGAGACTGCGCACGGTACAGGGGATGATCAGAGACTACGCATGGTACAGGGGATGATCAAGGGACTGCAGACGGTACAGGGGATGATCAAGAGACTGCAGACAGTACAGGAGTTGACCAGAGACTGCAGATGGTACAGGAGATGACCAGAGACTGCAGACGGTACAGGGGATGACCAAGAGACTGCAGACAGTACAGTAGATGACCAGAGACTGCAGACGGTACAGGGGATGATCAAGAGACTGCAGACAGTACAGGAGTTGACCAGAGACTGCAGATGGTACAGGAGATGACCAGAGACTGCAGACGGTACAGGGGATGACCAAGAGACTGCAGACAGTACAGGAGATGACCAAGAGACTGCAGACAGTACAGGAGATGACCAGATACTGCAGACGGTACAGGGGATGACCAAGAGACTGCAGACAGTACAGGGAATGACCAAGAGACTGGAGACAGTACAGGGGATGATCAAGAGACTGCAGACGGTACAGGAGATGACCAGAGACTGCAGACGGTACAGGAGATGACCAGACTGCAGACGGTACAGGAGATGACCAGAGACTGCAGACGGTACAGGAGATGACCAGAGACTGCAGACGGTACAGGAGATGACCAGAGACTGCAGACGGTACAGGGGATGACCAAGAGACTGCAGACAGTACAGTAGATGACCAAGAGACTGCAGACAGTACAGGGAATGACCAAGAGACTGCAGACAGTACAGTAGATGACCAAGAGACTGCAGACAGTACAGTAGATGACCAAGAGACTGGAGACAGTACAGGGGATGACCAGAGACTGCGGACCTTTAGGGAGGGAGGGGGAGCAGGTATCTGAATTTGACAGGTACCCGAATTTGACAGGTACCCGCTCCCACCTTGTCCTCCATTTACTGTGGGCACCCGACTGTGACAGCTGGGTGCCCAGTGCACATGCGCGAGAAGCGCTGGACTTTGTGAATGGCCCGGTGTCTTCTGGGACCTGTCATGTGTCCCAGAAGACGCCGGACCATTCACAAAGCGCAGCGCTTCTTGCGCATGCGCAGTGGGCACCCGGCTGTCACAGATGCCGTCGCGGGAAGACTGCACAGCGCTGGACCGAGGAACAGGTAAGGTCCTGCAGCAGAGAACAGCTGAGCGGCCAGCCCATTATTCTGACATGGTGGCAGCAGAAATACCGGTTTTTACACTACATAGACAGTAATATACCGTAACGTGCGGATTGTTCCGATTGGTGTGCTATTACTTTGTGGAACGTTTCGCTGAATGGTTCACAAAATATCGGCATTTTGTGGTGAAATTGGTCCCATAGGAATGAATGGCGGAATGTTCAAAACTAGAGTGGGAGCTGACAAAAGCTAGAGTGTGAGCTGAAAAATCAGGTCATAATTTGTAAACTGCCATCACTCTGTCATTTTCAAGCCCACCTACACAAATCTTATATCAAAACGTTCAGCTATCCCTGCTGCCACTAAAAATGTCCACGGCTAAGCCATAGTCCTGATAGTTTTCACAATATGACCATTTGTTTGCAACTCACGCTGCCCATTGACATTCATTGAAACTCCACTCTAGCCACCTCAAATTTGAAGGGCAATTTCTAAACTGCGACTGTGCCTTCATTTTTAATATTTCAGAGACATACTATACATCAAAATGTAGGTCTGGGTCTTGTAATTCTCACAATATAAAGCTCTTCAGTGTAGGATTTATAATTTTTAAACTACAACCGTTTGAAGATGGCAACAGCCAGTTTTTAACTGCTCATCTCTGCCCTTGCGGTAGAGTGAGTTGCCATAGGAACCCAGGTGTGTGAGCAGGCAGCAGAGTGACAAAAGCTAGAGTGTGAGTTGTAGACTAATGGTGGAGGCAAGAACACTTCACACAATTTCCCCAGAAATTGTAGCTTTTCTAGTTAAGATAGTTACAGTGCCATCATCTACATACAAAAAGAGAAGGGACAATGGAAATTAAACAGTGTGTGTTTAGTACCACTTTAAGATTTTCACTTTTATATGTTTATGCAAACAAAAATTAAAGCTGAACTCCAGACAGGTCTACTATACACAGATTAATGCAGATCTGTATTCATGAATACATTACTGTATTTGTTTTAATTCCAACTAGTTTTAAGCACCTCTCTTTGACCTATCTGCCTCATTATCCCTTCTGCAACATTTACACTGAGAGTGGGAATGGCACTATTGAGAGCCAGTCAGCGGTGATGCATGTGGATGTGCTAATAAGGAACTTACTAATAGGAGAAAGAAGTGTAAGCAGAATGACCTCATCATTCTGTTGCTGTTCTTTCATTATCTAGCAAGCAGGGGTAGAATGAAGACACCATTATATTCCCTACCTGCCTCATTCACACAGGATCTTACACTGGCTAACCTAATCAACTCCTTCCTCCTCCTCTTCTTAACTACACTTTCATGTTTATTCCATTTTATTTATATTTTTTTTAAATGAACCATTAAAAAAATTTTCAAAAGTGAAGAAAGGGTTTTTTTTTTTCATTTGTATATTTTATAATAGAAACACAATGTTGGCGTCATTATACTCAGGATAAATTATAGAATAAAATCTGCACTCTTTATTGACAGAAACACTTGTTTTAAAATTAACACTTGTCAGACTAAAAAAGCTCTTTTTTGTTTGTTACATCTTCTTTGTTACATATTGCATAGAAAATACCATATTTTTTCAATACAGCATTGGCAAGAAAGCATTGTCTGCAATGAAAAACAATATATGTACAGTATTACTTTGTATTAGTGACAATTTTTTTTTTGCAGAGCAACAAGCCCATTAGTATAAATGCAAAAATTGCTCTGGTCCTTAACCACTTGGCCTCCAGAAGACTTACCCCCCTGACATCCAAATTAAATTTATGTCCTTTCTTTTTCCCCACAAATGAAGCTTTCTTTTGGTGGTATTTTATCTCCTCTGCGGTTTTTTTTTTTTGTGCTATAAACAAAAAAAGACAGACAATTTTGAGAAAAAAGCGATATTTTTTACTTTTTGCTATTGAATATGTCAAGTAAAAAAAAAATTTTAAAAATCAAATTTCGTCATAAATTTAGGCCAAAATGTATTCTGCTAACAAAAATCTCAATACGTGTAAATTATCTGGTTTACATGAAAGTTATAGCATTTACATATGGCGGTATATATACTGGGGTTTTTTTTTTATACTAGTAATGGCGGTGGTCAGCGACACTGGGGGGAACTGACTAACTATCACTGACATCCCCAGTGACACTAATACAGTGATCAGTGCTAATAAAAAGTACTGACTCTGTACTAATGACACTAGGCAGGAAGGGGTTAACATCTGGGGCGATCAAAGGGTTAACTGTGTGCCGTTTTACTGTGTGCTGTGTTTCACTGTGTAAGCACATTGCTTTGAATTGCTCTGCTATGCAGAGCAATATAAAGCAGTATGCAGGAACTGACAGGGGAGAGATCTGTATTGTTTACATAGAGACATCTCCCCTGTCAGTGATACTCTGCGATCGCCGGGTGCTGGCGGGAAATCATCGGCTGGGACCCGGTGATTGACATCTGAGGCCGCCAATGGCTGCGTACGCCCCCTATCCGGAAATCCAAAATCATGTATATATACATGATTTCGCGCAGCCCTGCCGCCCTGTAGCAGTATTTCTGCTATAGGGCGGCGGGACAGCAGTTAAACAGGTATACAGATTTGAGAGCTGAAATGGTTAAAAAAAAAAGAGTCTGTTACCACAACCTAGAACATTTATATAATTGTATCTTTGTATGTATTTACTCTTTTGTTCTGTGTTGCAGCGAATGCTTCAGGCGAATCGAACATTTAAGAGACCGCAAAGATGTCTTTAATGAGTCATTGAAAGAAGTTATGAATTCAAAAGCAGGCAAAAAGGAAGAGAATGCCGAAAGTGATGAAGAGGTTTTATCAGTCATGATTGGTCAGAATTGGCGAGAAAAAGGAGCTTTTCTATAGCTTAGAGATTTTGTGAAAAAAAATATTTCCTTTTGACCAAAGACTCATACAAACTGGTTTACTGTGTTTTTCTGCATGGTCTGATCAGATGTTCCTATGCAAGAATCCAATATGCCTGAAATATATCATCTTTTTACTAGGAGGATAAATAAATGACATCAACGTACAGTATGTGAACTGGAACCGAGTGCTATTGTAAATTGATGTTTTTAGTAAATTTCCTGTGGCACCTCCTTTTTTTTTTTGTCTAATACTTTGTTATCCTGTCGCTATTCCAAACAAACTTTTAATGCACCCTGTAAATAAATAGGCTGAAAACTTATTGTCCAGTAGATGGCAAGGTAAACCTCTGGATGCTGCTGTAATCCTACTGTTATAGTTGTGTTGGATAGCATGTCCCTATCTGGGTGCTGTGGTGCCTCCATCTGACCCCTACATTACTACTGTGTCATATCCAGGGGTGGACTGACCATTTGGAAACTCGGGCACTGCCCGAGGGCCCGGGGTCAGTAGGGGGCCCCATGAGATGCCCCTGGTACCTTTTTCATAGGCTTTTTTGAGTTTGGGCAAGGACACAGGGGCCCCATGATCCCCTATTGCCCAGGGGCCCCATGAGTTGTCAGTCTCCCCCCCTGGTCATGTCACATAGTTACTCTGGCTGAAAAGAGACAAAAGTCTATCCAGTTCAACCATAGAAAAAAAAAAGTTATCCTATACCCACAGTTGATCCAGAGGAAGGCAAAAATAAAAAAAAAAAACAAGCAAAGCATGATCCAATTTGCTTCTGCTGGGAAAAAAATACTTCCTGATCCTCCGAGAGGCAATCGGATATTCCCTGGATCAACTATACCTATAAATGTTAGCATCCAGTTATATTCTGTGTATCTAAGAAACAATCCAGGACTTTTTTGAAGCAATCCACTGAGCTGGCCAGAACCAACTCTTGAGGGAGTCTATCCCACATTTTCACAGCTCTTACTGTGAAGAAACCTTTCCGTATTTGGAGATTACATTTCTTTTCCTCCAGACTTAAAGAGTGCCCTCTTGTCCTCTGTGATGACCTCAGGGTGAATAGCTCTACACTGAGTTCACAATATGAACCACTGATGTATTTATACATGTTGTGATCATATCCCCCCTTAATCTCCTCTTCTCAAGAGAGAATAAATTCAGTTCCTCTAATCTTTCCTCATAGCTGATCTCCTCCATGCCTCTTATCAGTTTGGTTGCCCTTCTCTGTACTTTCTCCAGTTCCCCAATGTTCTTTTAGTGAATTGGTGCCCAAAACTGAACTGCATATTCCAGTAGTGACGTAGGAATTTGGCTGGTGGAACCACAGAGCAAGACAGGGTCCACTATCCGATACAAAGACAAATATTTCTCTCACTCCCTGCTGAACTGGTAAGTATTTATCCTGTAATATTTACAGGGTGTGTCTTGTTGAGCTTATTTTAGGACAGCGTCAGGGTTACTTTAAGTGTCATAATTTTGTGGTGTGTTTTTTGCTATCAATATTTTGTAACATTTTGTACAGTTATATATTTTGAAACTATAAAACTTAATGTGTTGTAACGATTGATACATTCTGCTTGGGTGTATTTTAAAGTTTGTGAAAGTTTTGTATTTGAACACTTCATCTCTTGAATTCATCTTTTTCAGTTGCTGTAACTGTAAAAATAGATTCAAACTTTGTGTGCAGCTCAAGACAAAATATTAATTTGTGTTCGCGTAAGTAAAGGCAAAACCTTTTTTTTTTGATAGAGTGGAGAGGAATGTGGATCAGCATTGCACTTGGTGCAGTGTGTTGAGTTGTGTTAATCCACAGGGTGCTATACAGGTCCAGGACCATGGTTCATCATTATGGAATCAAGTCCCTGAAGACCCCTTGGAGGGTATGCTATCCATTATGAGAGAGCCCTGGACATTATTTACAGTTCAGCATTGCAGACAAGACAAGGTCAACCTGTATCGCTGACCATTACTGTAAAAATGGGGTTCGTTCATATATATGACCATTCAATTCACAAACAAAGCACATACATTTTTTATTTTGCAGTATTCAACGTGTTTTTTTGCGCCTTATTGTAACGCAGACAAGACCTGAATCTGTAATGGAAAGTTATACATTTAGCAGTGGTATTCCTACCACTGCTAAATGTAACATTTCAGCTCAGGACTGCTGGTTATTAAGGACCCGACACCCACTGCTTCTTTAACCACTTCCACACAGGGCACTTTTACCCCCTTCCTGCCCAGGCCAGTTTTCAGCTTTTAGTGCTGTTGCACTGTGAATGACAATTGCGTGGTTATGCAACATTGTACCCATATGAAATTTTTATCATTTTTTTCACACAAATAGAGCTTTCCTTTGGTGGTAATTAGTCACCACTGGGTTTTTTATTTTTTGCACTATAAACTAAAAGACTGAAAATTTGGGGGGAAAAAAAGGTTTTTTTTTGTTTCTATTATTTCACTTTGCAAATAAGGAATTTTTTTCTTAAAATTTAGGCAAACATTTATACTGCTACATAACTTTGGTAAAAATAACCCAAATCCGTGTATATCATGTAGTCTGTGTGAAAGTTATAGCGTCTACAAGCTATGGCACCAATCATTGAAAATTGATCACACCTTAAGCACTGAGGGCCTATTTCATTTCTTGAGGCCCTAACATGCTAAGAAAGTACAAATAGCCCCCCCAAAAAAACCTTTTTGGAAAATAGACAGTCCAAGGTATTTAGTAAAAGACATGGTGAATTTTTTGAAGTTGTACATTTTTCCCACAACTCTTTGGAAAATGAAGAAATATTTTTTTTTCACACAATTTTTTTCACACACATAATTGTCAGTTATTTCTCACACCTGGCATAGACATACTTGCAAATGCACCCCAAACACATTCTGCTACGCCTGAGTATGGCGATACCACGTGTGAGAGACTTTTCCATAGCTTGGCCACATACAGAGACCCAACATCTAAGTACAACCTTCACGCATTCTACGACCATAAAAGGGGAATAAATTACACATCTAATTTCCTGACTACCTATCACAGTTTTGAAGGGTCTGGAGCACCAGGATGATGGAAACACCCACAGAATAACCCCATTTTGGAAAGCAAACATCCCAAGGTATATTCTATCAGGCCTAATGAGTCTTTTGAACGTAATTTTTTTTTTTCAAACGTTTTTCAAAAATGTGGAAAGAAAATGAAAACATTTTTTTTCGCACAAAGTTGTCAATTTATAATGTATTTTTAAGACACATCATATACATACCAAGAATTATGCTACAAAATGCATTCTTTTTTTTATTCATTATATCTATTAAATTTTCTTTTAAGAAAAAATACATTACAAAACAACCATAAAATCTTATTACATCATCCACATAAACTTTATCCGCATTCCCTCCCCAAAACACACCCCTGTCCAATTTCATCTTATCCTCTTTCCCCTCCTATTGATCTAGTCATGTATATAGATCTCTTTAACCATTTAAATTCTCTGGTTCTGCTACTGGGGGACCTTTCACTTTTAAGTATTTTTCTGATGTTTTAAACTCATACCATCTACCCCAAATCTTTCTACATTTTTCAATTTCACCTTCCTCCATGTAACAAAGTTCCTCCATCCTGCTAACATATTCAATTCTGTCTATCCAATCCCTCATTGTTGGAGGATTAAACCCTTTGCCACACTAATCAGATGGTATAATAAAATTTTTATATTGTTTTACTGACAACTCTGTTTTATAGAAAAGACACACCCCACGGATCCTTCTGGATAGATGTCCCCAAAATCTCCTGTATATGATGAATTATCTCCTGCCAAAATAACTGAATTGTTAGGTATTCCCACCATATGTGAGCCATTGTCCCTATTGCCTCACTTAATAAACACAATCATTGTACAATAACACACAAACACACCTTAGAAGGAAGAACATGCAAAACATTTACAGCCCACATCAAAACACAGCGTGAGTGTGGCCTGGGGGCAATTCACCGCAATATCTCTTCCTCCCCAAACCACCACACACAAGGACATGCAAAAATAATGTGCCTATACCAGGCAAAAATCAGCCACTACTGCATCTCTATATATAAGGTAGGCCACACCCACCACTGTCATTCATTTGGTCAGAGAAAGTGTTTGCACTTGATTAATTCTCTTCCCACCTGCTTTAACCCTCGGTATACAGGCCCCACAAATCAGAGTCAGAAAGAAAGCCACAGTGAACTGTACCTGTGCAGCATACAACAGAACATTGAACAGGGATGTGAAAGGGCAATATTGGCAATATTTCTTGGCCCTATGGGCACAATTCACTCCAGATTATTGCATGAGTTAAGGCAGTCACATGACCACATCTCGCATGCAATACTGAAAATGTCAATTCACTTTTGCTAGTATGCGGGATTTCCCATAAATCGGAAAACACTCAGGAACTCAAACATAAAAAGGCCTTACACCGCGGCGTCACATCAAAGCCGATTTAGAAATTGTGCGACGTACAGTGAAGATGCCGATTTCCTTGTGATTTGCAAGACATCTGACACAGATATCTATGCAAATCGTCACTCGTCACAACAGTAGTACATGTACTACTTTAGAAATCAGTGTCGGAAACGCACCCATGTGACTGCTCTAATAGCAGACAATAGGGTGCGACTTGGCATACGATTTGCAAGTCGCATGTCATGCAAATCACATGCCAAGTCGCACTCAATGTGACCGCTATTAGAGCGTTCATATTGGTGTGGTTCCAACTTGGTTGGAGCCGCAACAATTTCTAAAGTAATGAATACACTACTTTTCATGCGTTTTGCAGAGAGATCTGTGTCAGATGTCTTGCAAATTGCACTTTAAATCAGCATGTCCCCCGACTTTGAAATCATGTGACTTCACTGTAAGTCACATGATGTGACTGTAGTGTAAATAACACCACTTAGAAATCTGCTTTAATGTGACCGGGGTAGCCCCAGTAACATTGTTTGC